ACCCCTTTAGAAAGGTGTGGATAGAGGGAGACAAATGTGGACTCAGCTTTATAAGAGAGCAGGCATGCTGGCTGGACAGACTGGGGAGGCCGAAAACTAAGCCCTTCGTCAGCCTTCAGGTGTGCAATGGGAGTCACTCCTGTGTTAGCACATTCAGACACGGTAGACCAGGGCAGCATGTACCCAGGACGAAGTTCAGGTTAGGGAAGGAGTAGAAACAGGAACAGCAGGAGGTGGGGTACCTCCCTCTGGCTACACGAACACTGCCATGGAGCTCAAGCAGAAGGTGCATGAACAGTAGAATGTAAAACTGACAGATCTGCTCCATCAGCCTTCCCCCAATTCACAATGAACGTTAAAAAACAAGGGGGAGTGGGGAAGATGAGCAGAAAGCAGGTTTATGAGAATGATGATGGCAACATTATGTACTAATGTGCTGGACACAAATGATGTATGTACGGATTGTGAAGAGTTGTATGAGCCCCTAATATAATGATTTAAAAAACATAAACCAAAAAAAGCGTAAAATCCAGAAACGACATATCTTTTTAAAAAGGTAATGAAATATTCAATGAACTTGTCGAAAATGCTCTTTGGACGGAGGAGCAAGGGGCAGTGTCTACTGCACGAGTGGCCTTGGGGGAAGAGGGAGGGTCAGCACGTGAGGGTTACAGGTATGGTTCAGAAGAGATTTCAAAACCACAAACAAGCCATCAAGAAAAAGTCTGAGAGCAAAATTTCAAACCACCTCAGTAATAAAAATTTAATAGCAGCGAGCAAGTCACAAAACAGTGGTGGTGGGCTATCTTGATGGCATGTCCAAGAGGAATTTGAGTAGGTTGACCAGAACACAGGAGTCTAGATTGAAGATGGAACTTGAGTCAGCTGCACTGTTAAACGATGGCTGGTGGTAAAAAAGTGAAGCCAAGAAACCTGCGAGAGGAGTCGAATGAAAAGACGGCGTCGTATGAATGCTACGCAGGCCGTGCCATGTATCCCGCCGAGGCTCCCACTCCCTCCACAGCTGAGAGGCAGGCCCACGGGGCCAGGGGCTGGCAGGAGCGGAGTGTGCGGTTGCCTTGTCCGTGACCTTTGAAGAGGTCACCGTCGGGCCTTTCCTCTATGAAACTGCTGGGTGGGCTTGAACCACCAGCCTTTCAGTTTGCAGCAGAGTGCCTAATCATAGTGCCACCAGGGCCCTTGGATGGCGGCGGGAAGAGAGGTACACCTTGCTTTTGAAAAATTCGTTTTAATACACGTCACTTGGAGGAAAGCGCAGTACCCGTTTTCAATAACCAAAAGAAATCCAGAGGGCTTTTGCTTTTTCCAAAAACGAATAAATAGGCGAGACTAGTGTTTACTTTACAGCGAGTCAGCAAAGGGGCAACACTAAGTCCCGTCCCGACGACGCTATCCTCAAGTTTTGTGCCAGGTACCAGAGCTCTGAAGTGTGCCAATTTAGGGTTTGGGTTAGCTAGTAGGTGGCTTTGTGGGGGTCTGGGAATGCTGAGGATGCTTCCCTTAGTCACACCAACTATAATTGCTTCATGTCACTCTGGCTTGAACGGCGGCTTGCCTGCTTTGCGTCACTTTGGCTGAGGAAAGGTTTCACCGATGGCAGGGACCCTGTATATCCTACGTAGACAGCAATGACTTACGCAGGGCAGAGCTCCATAGAAGAGTAACTTACGGGGTTTAGTCATGAAGGAGAGAGGAAACGCTGGGCTGAGAAAGCACAGGCGAAAAAAAGATTTGGCAAGAAAAAAATGTTACTGGCAGGAAGGGGGGAGAACAGTTTTGAAAACACTTAAAGTCAGAAGAATATGCCAGGTGGCTTTCCTCTTTAAATAAAGGGCACTTAAAAAATTCCCACTGTCCAGGCCACTTCCCCAAAGTAATATAGTACCTTAGGGGGCGGGGCCCGGGCATTTGATTTTCGTGAAGGTCTGATAGGCCCAAATGCGTGTGGATTTTTCATCAGTGCAAGGCCAGACGTGGCCTCAATCGGGTTTGCGGACTACAGATTGCAACAGCAGCTGTAGGAGTCACAGGGCCTACACAGGGGCTTGCTAAGCAGCAACGAGGGACTTGCATATGGCAGATGCCAAGATGCTGAAACAGGAGTCTTAGGTTTAAGTCCTAAAAGCCACCAGACGATGGAACAGAGAGGTGCTAATGGGAATACACTCTGAGGAAGGCAGGCCAGTGTGACAGGTGACAATTGCCCTGGGATAGGGGTGAGGTGCCAGCAATGAGAAAACATCTCCATTCTGCAGCCTTCTTCCTCGCTCTTTCCCCAGGCTTGAAAGGGGTGATGAATTCAGCCCAGGTTAGTTTCACTGCTAACTGCAAAATCCTAAGTTCAAACCTACCAGCTGCTCCGAGGGAGAAAGAGGAGACTTTCTGCTCGCATGAAGATGTCCCTTGGACAACTCATGCGGGGCGGGGCAGCTCTAGCCTCCCCGTGGCACAGGGTCACTGTGAACTGGAGTTGAAACACGAGTTTCAAAGGCCTAGAAGGGACCCCGGGGTGGTGTAAGGAGTTCATTTGCTTGCCTGCTCTCTGGAGGTTTGAGTTCACCCAGAGGGACCTTGGAAGACCTGGCAGTTTCTTTCAGGAAAACCAGTCACTCTGAGTCCCTTGGAGCACAAATCTACTCTGACGCACGAGGTCACGATGGGTCAGAAGTGACCAGATGATAACGGCCCACTCTAAACACCAGGCCTGTTTACATCGGTTCACTGTAAAACTTCACAGCGTGTCAGGACCATCAGAAATGATCCGAGGGGCCCAGCAGACCTGAGAATTTGTATTTTCCAGGTGAGGCTTAAGCTGCTGGTCTGCAGAGCTGACTCTGAGAAACATCCAGGGGCTTTGCATGCCAACCTCTCCCATCTAGTTCCTTTAGTATGTAAGACACCTCCGAAAGGATGGGAGACAGGTGTCACACCTCCCCCAAGACAAGTTCTGGTTCCTGCAGATCCACCTCTTTGGGGGCGCTACTGGAGAGAATGGCTGATGGTCTGAACGATGGGCATGTTGTTTTTGCTTAGCTGGGTGGACTGGCCACAGCGAGAGTAGAGGAGGTCAAGCTGGACTCAGAAGACAAGGTACTGAATAGCATCAGGCAATATTCATGCCAGTCCCCAAACTCACCCTGGGAAATCCCTGAACTCCCATAGGCAGCCTGTCCAACACACCTTCCTGCCACGATGAATTAAAGGGCAGAAAACACAAACTTAATTGCCGCCAAGCATACTGAGTCACTGTGGTCCTATCAGGGCAGAGATGCTCCCTAGGACTTGAACATGTACAGGATGGGAGCCCCACTCGTTGACCTCTCCCCTCTGCCTCTCTTCCTGGAAGGTGAAGTCTGAGTATTGAAAGGTAGGTGTGTGTGCTCAGGCAGACACACGGTTGCTCATTGCCACCCGCTGGAAGGGAACGCTGCCTGGCCTTGTGCCTCCTCACAATGGCTGCTGGGGTGGAGGCCATGGTTGAAGTCACCTTTGCACCCATCCTCCACTGTGCAAAGCACAAGGTGCTTTGCCGGGGACAGTTCCCTTTTGGGAACACGTGGGACGAAATCTCATCAAGGAGCTACCGCCTGAATTTCTCCTGGACAAGCGAGTGCTTGCACCAGGGTGGCACCAGTGAAAGCATCTCCATTTGCACCCCATCATTTCCTGGAGCCTTGATTTTTGGCAATCCCTCCACAGTGCAGCTTGGACTTCTTCCTTGAATGCCGCTGGTTCTGGATCATGCTAGCTACCTCCCCATGTCCCTGATGGCATCACACCACTCACCCTTAGTGTTAAGCCGACAGTGGGCTTAACCCTTAACACACAAGGAAGACTCCCCGAGCTCCCGATTTCCATCTCGCTGGCTGAGGCGGCCTCCCAGCCTAGGCTGCTCTTTGCCTTCCTGTTGCTGACTCAATTCCCCCAAAGCCGGAACACGGGAACAATCCAAGGAGCTGGCGACGTTCAAGTCTGCCGTGCTGGCTGCCCAGACAGCGGGCTGCAGCGTTCCCACCGAGTTTCAAAGCCAGGATGTCAGGAGGGTGTTGTGCTTTTTCTAAGCCAGAAGGCAAGAGTCTAAAGGGCTACCAGATTGATATGCTGGGTGCGGATGCAGAAGGGGCTGGGGCTTCAGCACACAATCTGGGGATTTTCAAGGCTAACATGGCAGTCCGTTTTGTCTTGAGATTTTTCTTTAAATAAAGTTTCTTAAGGAAATTGAAGCGAGGCTTGGTAACTGAGAAGGATATAAGCCAGACACACACAGCCATTATCTTAAAAAACTAGAGACTAGATTCAGAAAAATGCAACGGCGGGAAAGGGGGCGGCACAGGCAGCTGGACAGGTCCCGTGGCGTTTCTTCCAAAGGTCTCTCTTGCATCACAGCCGCACATCTCACTGGGAAGATGCCCGTCTCCCAAAGGTGCCCGAACGGCTGCTTTTCTCAGTTCTGTTAATAGCCCGCTCAAACAATGCTGAGGCCTGGGTGAAAGAGGTTTTCACAGCTAAAGGGCTTATAAAATCAGGATGCCTTTCTTCCCAGTAGGAGCCCCGGTGGCGTAGTGCCTAAACCTTGGCTGTGACCCTCCTGCTCCTTGGAAACCAGCAGCAGCAGCAGCTCCGAAGGAGAGACCGGGTGATCCACGCCCATCAACAGTCCAGTCTCAGAAACCCACGGGTCGCTGACTCAGCATGGACCCGATGGTTCCTTCTAATGTGGGGTCCCTGGGTAAGAGGTGGTGTCAGCGCTCAGCGGTTCACCCCAAAGGCTGGCGATTTAAGTGCTGCCAGGGTCAGCTGGTGAAAGCCTTGTGGCCATGGGATGGAGACTGTTGGATGGCAACTAGTTACTGTCCTCTCAGCAAAGGGGGCTCATTTCCCCTTTACCCAGGGAGGCAGATTTGGATGACTCCAGAGCAGGCGATTCCCCAGAATTTTGTGACTCATCCGTACTAACAATTTATGGCTTTCTTTATTTTCTCTAAATAGTGCCCCAGTTTGGGGTGTCTGTTTAAACCTGGAGGTTTAGTGGTTATGTGTTGGGCTGCAATCTACAGGGTCCACAGTTCAAAACCATCAGCTCCTCATTGAGAGAGACGGGGCTTTGTACCTGTAAAGAGCTACAGCATCAGAGACTCACGGGGCAGTTCTGCCCTGTCCTCTGTGCTGGTTTGAGTCCACGTCGACTCGCTGCCAGGGAGTTTGGTTTTTGAGGTGTATGTGTGTGTGTGTCTGTTCCACAGAAGGTGTTTGGGGAGGAATTCCCATCTTTGTAGGGGGGGTTCCAGTCAGAAAACTTAAAGTCAACAGTCAGCAGCCTGATGCATGGCCAGCAGTGTGACCAGGGTGGGGGCAGACAAGAGGCATGGGCATGAACACAAGAGGTGGCAGTGGACTGCCCAGCCTGGATGAGTATCTTATCCAACACCATTTACAGTTGCGAGTTTTATTATTGTTTTGATAAGCTGTCCCCACCCCTCCCGCCTCAGGACACTCCCACCCTGAAAGGTTCTCGATGAAGCTGGGTTAGTGGGGCGTTGGCGTCTTGGAAGGGAGCCCGGGCCCTGTGGCTTCATTCATCCCTGTGGCCTGAGAATAAGAGAGACACGTGGACACAGGACAGACACACACAGCATACGCACACACCAGAAGCTTGCTATTTTAAAGAATGTACTTTATACAAAATAACCAGTTCATATGGAAATAAATCTACAGCCCTCCAAGGATCAAAAAGCTTTTTTAAAAGTTCTTAAAAAAAAATATTCAAACACACAATTATATTGAACTAACTATTGAGGTAAATGTCGCTCTCAGTGAAAAACAGGGGATCGATCAGCAGACCACGACAAAATATACACAATATAAAAATAAATAGCATCCCCTTTCCAGTACTGGCCAGGAACGTTCACACGGCAGCTGCAGCAGGAGTGAAGAATCCCTGACACTGTGCCCAGGCTGGTTGGGGCCTGGCCTGCGCTCCCCCACCGAGCTGTGTGGAAGGGAGTGGTGAGGTATCCAAGAGAGGAGAAGGGCTCCCACATAGCACGCGGGATAAGGGCTCAGCAATGTCAAGAATGTACTCAAAGGTCACACCACATCCCCACCTCTCCTCTCGCGTCTGCAAAACCATGCGCAGGACCATCAGGGGTGAGCCGTGATTCCCACAGATGGAGTTACGCCTGTGCCCCAGCGCAGAGGGAGAGAACGGGATCGGGTATGAAGTTCCACCCAAGCCCAGGAGATACCTCCCCTCTAAAGGCCTGCTTAGCAAAGGTACACAGACCACACCGAGTGGCATACCCACAAGCTTGTACCGTGGCTTCATATGGAATATGGGATATAGCAGCGATCATCCAGCGTGCCGAGCCCGCATGGTTCAGACAGCCCAACCCAATGAGCAAGAAAATGGAAACGCAAGACTCACCACATTCTGTCACTGGATGGTGACATGGGCCCAAGAATAAAAAGCTCTTGCACATGTAAGCCGGGTGCCCAAGTATCTTTGCTGAAGCTCTTGTCTAGGGAAAGAGCTGCTGCCACACTGCCTACACAGCTGCACAGTACATGCCCATTGATATACAGAGCCATCATCTGGTACAGGGGTCCGTGAGGAAGCTGCTCGGGAGGTGACCTAACAGACAGACACCCAGGGGGCAGTAATACTAGTGATGTCAAAGCCCTTCACTTCCATGTAAGCAGAGGATCTCTGAAAGCCATGTAAGGTTCCCGACAATTCCCACCCATCCTTGTCTTGAGGCCACAGGACTTAGACTTCTTGTGAAATGTCCAAGTAGGTCTCAGGAGTAGTGTATTATTTATAGGTTTAGCCTGCCATGGGAACAAAACAAAAAACGAAACACGCCGCGGAAAGCTAACAAAACACCAAATAAAAGAGCTACACCAAGTCATGTGGATGGAGTGCCTGTTGCCGACATCTTCAGTGCCGACCACCCTGGGGCTTTGGGTTTGGGACAGTCACTTCCAAGGTCTGAAGGGCTGGGTGGGGGGCAACCTGCACTTGAAACTGCGGTTGGCTGGGCTGGAGGGCACAGAGGGGAGCTCTTAAGGTTTTCAATACACAGATGAGCAGAGACAAGCACAAGAGAGCAGTCAGGGGCTCCTGAACAAAGCCCACTGTTCAGACAGGAGTACCACCAGACGAACTGAGGCACCCCAATAAAGATGAGGCTGGCACAAGAGACACGAGCCGGGAGCTTGCCTCTTCTCCCTTACTCTCCCCACGCGTCTGTCAGAACACATTTCAGCAGCAGAGCCTCTAGCTTCTGAAACAGAAACCGTCCTAGAGCTCTTACTTTTCCCTTCCGTTTGAGCTTTCCTCTCTCTCCCGGGTCTTGGAGAAGGGGGTGGGGGGCTGCGAGAAAGGAGTTTGGAACTCACCAGCAACTCGACTAAAATCAAATAGGTGAGATCGGATTTGCAATGATCCAGAGATCTCAACCGCCCCCTTCTGGGGACCACTGAGAGCCAGCACACTGACAAGCGACAGTGACCTACAGCCTGAAAGCGAACCTTGTAAGAACACCCTTACACAACTACTTCTAATTATAACATATCACAGTCACCATTTCCCGAGTGGGGACGAGGGTGAACACGCTAGCATCTGCTTAGGACACTTGGAAAGAGAAGTGCTAGAGGAGCGAAGAAACGGGTGAGAAGAGAGCTCTCGTGTATGCCTGCAGGCTCACAGCTCCTGCCACCTTAGAGACCAGTGGCAGCCCAGGACACACCAGGCACAGAGGGAGGGAGTCTACCTGTCACGCACCACAAAACTCCCACCCATGGGAAATGGGAGGCGGCCGACCACGAGGGCTTTGCTGTTGCTTTTGTTCACAGTGTGGTAATTTAATAGTCAGTGGATTTCCTATCGCTCTTCCTTCATGCTGTCTCACCTCTCTACACTGAAAGAAGGGTGAGTATGCATGAAGGCAGTCACTGGTTTCTTCCCAAATGGTTCGCCAGCTTCTCTCTGGCCCCCCTGACACCAGATCACGGCAGTGGGGAGACTTTGCAGACAGAAGGGTAAAACAGGATGACATGGCCTTGAAACTCATTCCACTGAAAACATTCAAGACCCAAGTCCTTTTCAGACAACAACAAAATCAGCATGTTCACTCACCGCAACTCAGGGGGCCTCTGTCCTCCCGTGCCCAACACCACCCGAGTCCTGACCCCTATCACCAGGCCACAGGATACTCACTCCTCGATCGGTTTCCCATTGCACAAGGGCGGGCGGTGCCCTGCTTCCACCTAGTGCAACAGGGACACCCTGCACCTGCGACTTTCCTGCCCGTTCAGCACCCAGTTGGAGACGTTCAACACGACAGTTCTTTAATTCACCAAGGACCCTGGCAGGGGAAGGAAGGGCTTTCCTGAGCCCTTCTCCTCGAGCTCAAACGTGGAAGGAACTATGATGGATGAGTATTTCAGGGAAGCTCCCTGACTCTCCAGAGAGCTGGCTTAGAGAGGCACCATTCTCAATGCATGAGCCGTGGTCTCAGGACACATATCCTCAGTTTTCATTGTACAGGGTGGCACTTACTTCGGTGGCATCTCAACAAAAATCAGATACAGAAATGCTAGGCAGTGGGGGTGCAGTGCCATTTACGCCTGAGACTGTTAACAAAGCAATTTAATACTGAAGAAGGATTTTTCCTATCGCAGAGACGACACGTACTTTCCAAGGATGTGTTCTGGACAGCTACCTTAAATCACCATGACTGCTTCTTGTTTTCACTAGGATCCACTTAAAAAGAGTAAAAACTAAATATACTGATGTAGTCCTAAATCCAAAACTGTAAACCTACCGAATATACTTTCCACTATTAAAAAACTGTGCAATATCTTTATTGGTACTAACATATACAAACCTGAGTAGTCACGTCCACAAAATGCGAATCGTGCCAGAAAGCACCGTGTGTGTGTGCGCCGTTTCAGGCCACGGTTCTGGCAGGCCTGCCAGAAGAGGGCAACTCGCCTATCTTCTCCAAAGTGAGCACATTCTCGCAGCCCCAATGCCTGACGCCGGCTGAGAATGGTGAGGGCTGGTGGCGAAATCAGGGCTCCCGGGATCTGAAGGGGCAAATCCAGAACGAGGGCCCCCAGGGTGAGAGAGCAGCCTGCCATGGGGTTCGAAGCTTCGGAGAGCCTCCCAAGAGCACTCTACTTCCAAATGGATAAGCGAAGGGTTTCGGGGCTGGGGTAACTGTACTCCCTAGGGCTGGGTAGAAGGCCTCTGAGCTCTTTAAAGACAGACAGCCACTATGGAAAGACAGTAACCCATCACAGGACAAAACCCTCGGCTCCAGCTCCCAGATTATTCAGTGTGACATGATTGTAAACAGTTAAAGATCACTCCAGTGCTGCGTGCCCACCACAGTTGGGACGCCCGCTTCTTCCACCACCCCCCGCCCACTTTTTGTACAATACATTCACCACCAACAACCACAATTATTTTCAAAGGCAACAGGAAAATTCTGTAAACTGGACCCAGCTCCAAACACATTAATACTACAAGTAGTAAATTCTCTCTCCCTTCCCAAAATATATACCTGAGTTTAGCTGCTCATGAAAGTTAAACAAAAAACATCAATCCATTCTTAAGGATGCCCCCCCCCTTCCCTAAGTGTAAAGTTAGTTTCCCTGAAGGAGAAGCCTCAGGACTTGGAAAGTCACCACTTGTTCCAGGTCCGCTTGCTCTTCTGACTGTCTGCATAAGCTAGGCAGGAGGGCCTGAGCCTGGACGACGGCAGGCCTCGTGGTCATCGTCTAAGGAGTGTGCTTCCAGGGCCCGGGAGAGGCTCCAGCTCTGGGACTGGATGGCGGGGCGAAGGGGGAAGAATAGAGACGGGGAGGATCGTTTCCCCAAATGCTCCACGTTCCAGTCTTCATGTGCAGCTTTCCATCTCCTCCTTGGGGGGCATTTCCTCCTTGGACTAGCTCTGAGTGAAAAATCAATCAGCACATTAGAAACAACATCGAGAACAAAACAACACTTAACAAGCCAAAGAGAGAAAAGGCTCTACACTGTTCCCCAACCCCTGGACCCCTTCCTGCTACTCTTCATAAATCTGATTGTTGTATAAAGTATATGCGACCTGAAACAGGCCATTCTACGCATTAACACACACGCACGCGCGCACGCACCCAACACCTTGGTCGTGAATGAGGGGACGGTTTACTGAGCAGGTTGCCCCGTTTCCTGTGCCACCGTTCATAGACACTTGGTTTCAACTCAACTGCAATGCCCACAATCTACCACCACGGACCTTACTGCTCGCCGTGTTTCCTGTTCCCATGCCTCCGCCCTCAGCGACATTAATTACATTCACGCTGTGGCACAATGATGATCTACCTCTTTTAGAGTGGTGCTCCCAAGAGCAAAAGGAAGTCCCAGTCCCACTGAGCAGTCACCCCCACCCCACCCCACCGCCAGCCTCTGGCAACCACGATGCTACTGCCGGCTCACGGACAGTGCCTGTTTGGAGAGTTCAGGTAAGCACACGCATACAAAACATGCCCTCCGTGTGTGGTTCCATTCAGCTGCCACGCTGTTTCCTAGCTCTATCCCCTCTGGAACGAGTGTGAGCTCCTCAGTCCCTTCATTAGGACTGGATCCCTCTTTGGGTGCATGGACCATAGCGGCAACCTGGTGCCGCAGACGGGCTACTTCCATTACGAGCGGTCGTTACTACTGGGTTCTTGCTTTCACGTCTCTCGGGTGTCTAGACAAGGGTGGGAATGCTGGATCACAGGCCAGTTCTTCACATAACATGCTGCACCATATGACATTACTACTAGCAACAGACAACAAGTCTACTTTCTTTACATTCTTGCCAATACTTGCTATTTCCTTTGTAAAAAAAAGTCGCCAACATAGCAGGTGTGAAGTGGCATCTCAAGTTGGCTCTCAAGTGTACTTCTCTAGTGGAAGATTCAAACCTCAGCCCCCAGCAGGGACCCTCAAACAGGAAATTCCCTGCAAAAGTGTCAACTGTGATCCACAGCAGTGCTATAAGGCCTGTCCCAGTGGGTTTCCGAGGTTGAAAAGTCTTACAAGAACTTTCCCCTCCGGATGGCTGGAGGGTTGAACTCAAATCGCTGAGCTTGTGATCAGAAGCCCCCATGATCAGCACCCCCACCCCCTAAATAGTCTTGCACATTGAAGGATGAAGAAGATGATGATAACAATGAAGTCATGAGCTGAGGGGAGGATTACATGGGACTAAATAAGCTGTGCCCCACACAGAAGCAATACTCAAAGATAGCTACTCTCTCCTAAAATCTAACTGACTAATCTATTTGAAACAGGTAGAAAGAACAAAACAGACAAAGAACTGGATCATAGAAAAAGTGGTCAGTTTGGGGGAAAACCGAGGTTCAAGTCATACCCCCCCCCACCCCCATGGCCAGATTTCCGAGTCAGACTAGGAACGAGGACAACGTGGACCAGCAGGGGGCACAGGGCACCAGCAGCCTTGTCTACCTGGTCACCAGTAGGGCAGCAAGCGCCTTTCACGGTAAGTTCCTGTCTCTGCAAGGCCCGTGCAAAGTCCCCAGGCCAACAACAGTGACAAGGTGATGCACTGATTTCTAGCCCTCCTGGGGAGCGAGGAGAGCTCTGGCTGTCTGTAAGGCTCACCTGATCCAGAGGAAGGGTTTGGGGCTTGTGTGGAGGCAACTCTTCCTGCGCTGTTGCTGGTGTCTTTGGGAACGAGGACTGTGAGTGGACAGGATGCACTTGCATTCTAGAACCACAAGAAAGAGATGGTTAAGAATTATGGAAAGGGCATTCATTACTAAGAACAAAAAGACATTTTGCATGGAAAATTTTAAAAATAAATTATCAAGGGTTCATGAGGGAGGATGGGAGAGGGGGAAAATGAGTTGATACCAAGGGCTCGAGTAGAAAGAAAATGTTTTGAAAATGATGATGGCAACATATGCATGGATTGTGATAAGAGCTGTAAAAGCCCCCCAAAAAATTATTTTATAAAAGGGAAGACATTTTGTTATGAAGAGTTCTAATTATCTAGGGGGTGAGTAATGAGGCACTCTGCTGTTACGTGTGTCAGGTACAATTCAATTAAAAGCGCTGAGACACCGCCTAGGTCAGGGGAGGGAACGTCCGCCCCCAGGGCTGTGTAAAGCCTGAAAAGTCCTCAGTACCAGAGAACAGCCTGTGCCACAACAAGCAGTCCCAGCCTCCACACCAGGGGCGAGTTAATGAAAGGGAGGCCCAACATGGCCCAAGGATGATGTTGCAAACATCCAAATGGCCCCTGGCAGAAAAAAGTTTCCCTACCCTGACCTAGGTAGTGTTTCTGAAAAACGTCCGACGTTAAAATATGAGGACAAAAAAAAAGGTAAATCTAGAACTGGGAAACCCTAACATGAGAAGAGGCTCTGGCACCCAAGCCAAGCCTACTGTAAGAGACGGCTATGAACACAAATCATCAGGTGGTTCTTCTGCAACAAGGTCAGTCCTGGGTGTGCCTTGGATCACACACACGCAGACCAAACTAACACAGAGGGCCATTGCTTTTTGTGTGTGTGTCATGAGCTCATACAACACCACAATCCATACACCCACCAATTGTGTAAAGCACATGTATACATCCGTTGTCCTCATCATTCTCAAAACATTTGCTCTCCACTTAAGCCCCCAGCATCAGGTCCTCATTTTCCCCCTCCCTCCCCACTACCTCCTCCCTCATGAGCCCTTGATTAATTTATAAATTATTATTTTGTCATATCTTGCCCTGTCTGACGTCTCCCTTCACCCACTTTTTGTTGTCCGTCCCCCAGGGAGGAGGTCACATGTAGATCCTTCCCCCTTTCCAACCCACTCTCCCTCTACGCTCCCAGTATCGCCACTCAAACCACTGGTCCTGAAGGGATCATCTGCCCTGGATTCCCTGTGTTTCCAGTTCCTATCTGTACCAGTGTACATCCTCTAGTCTAGCCAGACTTGCAAGGTAGAATTCGGATCATGATAGTTGGGGGCGGGGGTGTGGGGTGTGTGTGTGTGTGTGTGTGTGTAAACGTTTAGGAACTAGAGAAAAGTTGTATTTTTCATCATTGCTACATCGCACCCTGAGTGGCTCTTCTCCTCCCCAGACCCCTCTGCAAGGGGATCTCCAGTGGCCCACTAATGGGCTTTGTTTTGGTCTCCACTCTGCACTTCCATCATTCACTGTGGTAAGATTTTTTGTTCTGATGATGCCTTATACCAGAGGGACATTGTTTTAAAGGCATTTTGGGGACAACTGGAGACAAGTAACTATGGATTCAATATTTAGCATCATTAGTGCAGTTTCCTGGCCAAGCCTGTTTTCGTTTGGAGACTGGGAAAGAGATTGGAGACACAGACGCTAGCTTCACATACGGTCTCCTGTGCCGTTCCCTCCTAGTTTGGAAGAGAACCCTTTAACCACCATCAGGAGCTGCACTTTGACGTTCCTTACGACTCTCAAACAGTGGTCGACAAGCCTCCAAGATCAAAACCAAACTCAACAGCCACTCACGTGACAATTCCTTTCAACGAAGAAGGAAACGAAAACTGTTGGAGATAAAGTCCAGCTGTAAGCCAAATTCACCACCATATTTCCAAGACCATAGGGATCTCTTGGTCTGTGACCACTCAGGTTTATCTCCAGTCTCCAGGCCACCATTTTCTTTCTAGAATCAACACCCTTACTTTTTTAGAAAGTCACACCACGCAAGCTTACCCCGATGGTCTGTACATTTCCTGGAAAGTTCCCCGTCCCCCACTTCTGGTGCCAATCGGATCCATCATCACAGCTTGGAAGTGGCCCATGCCTTCTTCCTGGCAGCGGTAGACGGGGCCCTCCTGAGGGAGGCCGTTCGGCTGGGTGGCCACTGGATGGTGAGGCGGGTGGGCAGCCACAGGGGAAGAATAAGCCCTGGGCTGGAAGGGACCAGCTGGCCGCTGAGGCGTGTAAGGAGGCCCCGTCTGTAGCATGACGCCATGGGGTGGGAAAGTAGCCGAACCAAAGCCCATCCCTGAGCTCAGAGCTGGAGGCGGGCTGCCATACATGTACTCGCTGGCCGAGAGGGAGCTCTGTCGCTTGGTAGCTGCATTATGGTTGTCCAGGTCTAAAAACTCTTTGGGACTCTCTGGCCTCTCCAGAGACCCGTCTAGCTTCTCTTCCTCTGGGGCGGGGTTCTGCCCGTCAGCGGGGACCACCTTAGCAGCCATGGGATCCAGCCGGGTGGGGGAGGTTAAGGCAGCATTGAGAGTCTCACAGCCCTGCAGGCCAGCCATGGCATTCTTATCTGGGAAGACGAGTCTGGGCGGGGGAGGCTGTGTCAAGGGGGGCCCGCTTGGGCTCCCCTGGGGATGGAGTGGTCTCTGCCAGTCGGAAAAGCCCTGTGGGCACTGGTAATAAGGAGTTCGCTGAGGGTGGTAATAGGAAGGCTGGGGTGTGGGCTGGTAAGAATACCGCATCCCCTGGTGGGGGCGGTACCGGGGAAAGAGGCCAGAATGAGGGTTATTAGCTTGGAAGCCCCTGGGGGGGAAAGGCTGAGGGTGCGACACTGGGGACTTGCCGCCCAACACTGAGCCCAGACCCTGCAGGCCCGGACTGAGGTGGTAATGGGTGGCGGAATTCGGATACTCCAGGCCTGGCATGTACAAGGGAGAGAACTGGCCCACAGGGCTTCCCATCAGATTGGGATCGGAGTTGGGAGGCGTGGCGGCTGGGTTCTGTCCGGCACACGCCATGGCTTCTGGCAACACTTTGCCCCTGGAGCAGAGGGGCTTTTCCACACCACCACTCATGCCCTTGCCTTCTGATCCACAAGGGGAAGCTTCGCCCATCAGGCCATTTTCTGCAATAGGCCCCCTCTCTGCCCCGGAGGCCAGGTCTCTCAGACATCCCTGGGCAGCTGGGCTGGGGTAGTGGCTCTCTGCGGGCCAGGTGTTCTTGGCCTGGCTGGCTTTGCAGTTGTCTCCCGATTCTGAGGGGTCGCTTTTGAGCTCCTGGGCCTCAGCTTCCTTCTCTTCGGGGGAGCTCTGCCTGGTGCCGTCGGTCTGTAGAGGTGGTGTTGGGCGAGGTAGTTGTTTGAGGTACACCCCCTCTGAAGCACCAACACTGGCTGGTTTCTCCTCCGGCCCAGGCAAGGGTTCTGCTGCAAGACACGTGGAGAACACAGGACATTGGGTGCGGAAAGGACCATGCTGCCGGGTGAGGCAGAGTCACAACCACCCTCCTCCCAGCCAGAGCTTTGAGTGCCTCTGAAGGGGGCCTATCTCCTCCCTGTCCCTACCACCCAGTCAATTCTGACTCCAGGCCAGCCTGGAGGACAAGCTGGCACTCCCTTCGTGGGTGTCCGGGCGGTGGGTTAGAAAAGATCACGCCCTTGTTGTAAGCAGGCCCATGCAGAACCCTCTCTCCTGTGACATAACTCATGGCTCATGGACTCCAGGGATGTGTGTGTAAAACACTGCCGGAGTCCATGTTGGTCAGGACAGTCGATGACTAGGCCATGTGGCTCTGAAATCCAGGGCACCACTGATACTCAGGTGGTTGGTCCCTAATTTCTCATCCAGAATATAAAATCTGCAGGAAGAGGGCTCTTTCCCACCCCATCCTGTGGAACCGCCCAATAGTTGCTGGAATCATCTATTATCTCTGTGCCTCAGTTTGTCCGGCTGTAAAAACATGAATAATTATCATCGCCACTGGCAAGGTTGTGCCGTGGAGGACATGACTACGAGAGAGTTTCAAATGAAGTTTGTGTAAAAATGGAATTAAAGGTAAGGGAGACGCTCTCTTCCTGGCTGCAGACTGGTGCGCGCTCCTTCTGCGCGCTCCCGCTGTTAACAAGATGTCTTCAGGAACTGCAAAAACTGGGCACCCTGCCCCCAACATCAAAGCTATAGCTGTTATGCCTGATGGTCAGTTCAAAGATATCAGCCTGACTGACTACAAAGGAAAATACATGGTGTTCTTTGTTTACCCTCTTGACTTCACCTTCGTGTGCCCTACGGAGATCATTGCTTTCAGTGACAGGGCAGAAGAATTTAAGAAACTCAACTGCCAAGTGACTGGTGCTTCTGTGGATTCTCACTTCTGCCATCTGGCTTGGATCAGCACACCCAAGAAAGAAGGAGGCTTAGGGCCTATGAACATTCCTTTGGTATCAGACCCCAAGTGCACCATTGCTCAGGACTATGGGGTCTTAAAGGTAGATGAAGGCATCTCGTTTAGGAGCCTCTTCATCACTGATGATAAAGGAATCCTTAGGCAGATCACTGTAAATGACCTCCCTGTTGGCCGCTCTGTGGATGAGACTCTAAGACTGGTTGAGGCCTTCTAGTTCACAGATAAACATGGAGAAGTGTCCAGCTGGTTGGAAGCCTGGCAGTGATACTATCAAGCCTGATGTCCAGAAGAGCAGAGAGTATTCCGCCAAGCAGAAGTGAGCACTGGACCATTTCAGTGCTAGGCTGCAATGAGTAGCCTTGAGAAAAACAAACGAAACCTCTCTTGTATTCTTCTTCGTGTTTCAAACATAAGGCCTTAACTCTACTGAGAACATGTTATTTGATAATATGATACACTTTTATTGTAAGGGCTGTCTTTCTACACTGCAGAGAAAATGACCCTGAGCTGTTTTGGGCAGGGCAGCTGATATGTATCATGTAATAGCAGCGGGTATAAGCCCATTGATCTTTTGTAGTTGTATTAAACTTGAACTAGGAAAGAAAAAAAAAGGTAAGGGAAAATTTCCACCAACACCTGGAAGCCCTTCGTGCATGCTAACTCTGAAAATGGGTGCCTGGCTGAGTTTGTAGCACATCCATGTGGACAGTGACAAGAATCATCACTAGGAAACCCTCTGGATCTCTGGACTGCAAGCGGTACGCCGGGTGGTCCCACCTGGAGGAGGAGCAGCTCAGGAAGTTTCCTAGGGCTGGACATCTATGTGGCAAGATTACTCATGCACGAAGAGCCCCACAGAGTCAAAAGTCAGATACAAGCGACAATTTTAATTACCTCGGTCCTTGTCGGGCTCTTTTGCATCACTGCTGTTCTGTGTCCTCCCAGGGGTCCCCAAGGCAGGCTTGGAGGCTGACACACTGCCAGAAATGGAGGGAACTAGCTGCGGGAAGGCGCCCGGCAAGTGGGGCGGCGTGAGCTGGTGGGGCTGGTAAGGCACACCCGGGGGGCAGACCCGGGAGGACAGCTGCTGCATGGCGATCATCTCGGGGCTGTCCATCATGGAGTCCCCTCCCGGGGCTCCCCGCAGAGCCGGTGACGCTGTTCCGTACAGAGACCCGTGCGCAGCAGCCGGGGCCTGCAGCTGATGTCCAGGTTTGCAGGGTGACCGCATGTACCCCGACGGAGGACCTCCATGAGGCAAGAAGCTTGACTGTTCGTTCCACTGGTTTGGAGGGAGAGGTGGCCTCATGACTCTGGGGTCCACCATGTGACTGAGAGTGCGTGGCTGGTGAGGCGCTCCCGGCCCCAGCGGGGGCTTCTCATCGGGCTGTAAGGGTCCTGGGTTGGCGGCACCATGGTTCCCATTCCAGACAGCTGAGTGAACTCGGTTCAGGTACTTGTATGGTCGGTACATGTGGCTGGGGGGCATTTCTGGGCTTTCCGGAAAGTCTGGGGGTCGGGATGGTGTCCCTCCATGCCTGGGAGGCATAAATCCAGGCTGGAACTGAGCTGAGGAATACAAGGCTCCCTCCTGCCTGGGGCCGCTCATCTGCCCGAGCTGCAAGGATCCAGGATGGGACCCCATGTTAGAAAGGTGCGTCAGCCCCCCACACACTTGCTTCTCGTCAGGGGTTCCTAGCGCAGGGGTTCGGTGGTTGTTCATTCCAACGGGGGGCTGTGAGAGGAGGGGAAGAGAGATCAGAGTTCACCAGACTCAGCAGATGACTGAGCGGACCCTGGGGGAGGAAAGAAAGGGACAGGAACTCGGGGACCCTCTGCAGCGGCTGTGGGAGTAGGCGGCTTACCTGCATGGACAAGGGCTGGCGCTGCTGCACATGCTCCCCAGGATGTGGTTCTGGGACTCTGGAGGAGGCATACAAGTTGGCAGGATCTGATCCCTGCAGAGGGCCAAATGTTCCTGGTACTGCTGGTCTCTGGGGGAAAGCAAGGGAAAAAACATAAGCGATAGATTGAGGCCTGAGAATTGCTGGAAGACAGTCACAGACCACTGACGACTTGCCACCAAGGAAGCGAATGCAGCTACCACGTGCGCTCCTTTAGACCACGCAATTCTCTCCCCAGGAGAGACAAGGGGGAGAAAGATGGGCTTTCTACTCCGTACAGAGTGACGGTGTTGGAAACCCACGGGTAGTTCTACCCCGCTCTAGGGGGCCGCTGCGAGTTGGCAGGGACTCAATGGCAGTGAGTCAGAGGAAGGAGAAGCAAGAGCAAACCAATGCTTCTAACCTCTTCCTTAGTACTGTCCCTGAAGGGGCCTTCCCAGAGCGACAATGAGGTGCCGGCTACAGCCTACGACTGCTAACAGAAAGGTGAGCAGCTTGAGCATGCCAGCCGCTCTGGGAGAAAGATACAGAAGCTCAACCTGCTGCTACGAGGCAGAAACAGCTTGATGGCAACAGGGCTTTTGTCAGAAGTCTTTTGGTTCACGTTTCCCTGAAATCGCTGGGCCCCCACCAGATCTTAATACGGCAGCCCTGCTTGGGTCAGTTCCTGTATCTAAGCTCCCTGCCGAAGACCAGGGTGGTGGCTCACCCCACCAAGAGCCCATCTTTGTCCATGTAGAGAAGGCACGGATCAAAGGTTTGAGAGACAGGTGGACTTAGAATGAAGGAAGAATTTTTTTAGAGGGGGTGGGGGCAAGATGGAGTGAAGAGAAAACTCCCACATACAAATTATTTGGGGGAAATTAGTTAAGAAGCTTTTACTTCCCTGTGAAACCACCAACTCTCAGGGAACTCAGGCCACTCCTTACCATCTGGTTTAAAAGCGGCGCCTGGGTGGGCATCCCGCCATACTGCAGGGAACGAGAGAAGCCTTGGCCATTGGAAGCCCTCAGCTCCCCAGGGGGCCGCGTGGAGCTGCTGCTCTGATCATCCCCAGAGGAGGCAGCTCGGCGGCGGGTCGGGGGCAGGGACTTCCCTCCGTTTTCCACGGGCTGCTGTTTCCCACCAGGCCAGTCCGATTCTCTGGAGCGGGTCCACACATGGCTGCCGCCAGCACTTCTACCCGCGCGACTTCGCCTCTTCTCCCGCTTCTCATCCTCTCGGATCCAAAATTCCTCATCCGTGTCCCCATCTTCGCCAGGAAAATGCTTCATCATGGCCCGATGGAAACACCTCTCTAAATTGTCCGACATCTTGGTGTACTCTGTGGTCACGGGAAGACACAAAAATTGGTCCCCAGGCAGCATCTTCACAGACAAGTCTCTTTATCAGTCACTGGGATAAACCTCCAACTTGGATCCATGTTTTATTGTAGGGATGGGTATAAAGCATGCTTTCTGTCCTCGAGAAGCTCAGGGCAGTGACTCTCGGATTATCCCAAAGCAGTCAGAAACCACCAGCCTTCTACCAAAGGGATGGATCTCTTTCTGCCCAATTCTTTGGATATTCCCTTAAAGAAGATTTCTCATGAAAAGTCCCTATAATTAAGTTAAAGGCAGAATTCAATATAGAGGGGGAAATCCCAAGATTTAAATCCCAGAAATTCTATTAACTGGATCTACTGGTTTTCAAACGAAGGCATTTTGAATGAACAATTCTAAGAGCCCCAGAACTGTAAACTAGAGGGAAATGGTAAATTACTGTGTCTGAAATACACTGTTTCCAGGGGCGGGGCAGGTCATGACGGGAGAAAGTCCCAGGAACACAGGAGGGCGCCACAAGATGTCTTAAGTGTAGTGGATTGCAAAACGGAGACAAGTTTCTGAACCAGGGGAGCCATAATTATTTTACGAGGGTTGACTTCTCAATAGGACAGCGCCAGCCTTCATTAGGTCTCTCTAGTCTGAGTCACAGAGATACGAGACCACCTAGTCCCAGACTGGCCTCCAGGATGAGAAATAGCCAGCCCAGGGAGCCACCATTGCCTATCTCCCAGTGTGGGATCTGAGAGAATTCCTGGCATATACAGCCCAAGTGCTGAGAATGGGCAATCTCACAGCTCTTAACCGGGGTGCTTGACATTAGGATATGTATTTCTAAAAGAGGTCTTTTGTTTGTGACTACAATGGCAAGGCTAAGACAACTCTAGAGCAAACGGCCTCCTCACTTACCACTACTTTCCCCATTATATTTCCGACAATTCCTGAACATAGTCTTCATGTCATTTACAAACTCCTCCTTGGTACAGTATAAACCTCCATTCAGTTTCTTCTCCATACTTGATATGTCCATGGGGACCTAGATGATGACACATAAATGTTTACTTACAACTAAAAGAAAAAAACAAAAACAAAAAACCTAAAAGAAAGAAAACAAAGTAAAATATCTCTTGGCCCTCATAAAGTTAAAGGAAACTTGTCTAAGAGCTTGCAGTATATCCAGCAGCCTCAATTTCAAAGAACCTTAGTTAAACTAAGCAAGAAGACATAAGAAAAGCTGAGGAAAATATATAGGGTGTAATAGGCATAATAAAAAAAAGGGCAGCCTCTACCTTAATAATCTGGTAATAGTTAGGGGCGTACGATTCGTCCACGGGTTCCAAAAAAGGCCAGGAATCCTTGTGAGCCTTTACCACATCTAGAACTGAAAGGCGAAGAGGGGAGCTAACTTCACACATCCACTCAGGAAGGCTAGTACCAGAAACACGATGGCTGAGAACAGGACGTAAAACTGACCTTTATACATGGCAGTGAAATCATCGTCCAGCTCAAAGCTGTAAATCACAAAGTAAGAAATTAACAGTGTCTCTGATCACATCTTTTCGTCACACGAAAGTTCATTCAATCACACATGACTGACTTATCCAGCATTTGAAATATTTAAAAAACAACAAAAAAAGAAGTATTTCCAATAGTTTACTGAGATGCTGGTAATGCTCCCTAAAATTAGATAGACTGGAACTGCACACCTTAACAAAAAAGGAGGCATTTTTTTCCCGCATTTACTAAATAATGGGGCTCATCCCTCTCAGAAGAAATAGTTTAAAAGTAAATAAAGTAATAAAACAACAGAGCTGGCTCTACACGATCCAAAATTAAGCTTAGTCTATGATTCTATAATGTAAGGTATTTAACAACATACTGTTTCTGAGGCTTTGTTTTAGTCTAGTGAGTATTTTTGTGGTGTGAAACATCAATCACACACACAAACACACACACACAAAATCTTTTATTGGTGGTTCGTACAACTCTTATCACAATCCACCCATCCACCCAATGTGTCAAGCACATTTGTTGACATCATCATTGTCAAAACATTTGCTTTCTACTTGAGCCCTTGATACCAGGTCCTCATTTCCCCCTCTTCTGTCCCCGTTCCCCCCTCTCTCATGAACCCTTGATAAATTTATGTTATTGTCATTTTTTACACTGTCCAACATCCCCCTTCACCCACTTTTCTGTTGTCCATCCCCCAGGGAGGAGGTTATATTAGATCCTTGTAATCGGTTCCCCCTTTCTATCCCACCTTCCTTTCACACTCCCAGTATCACCACTGGGATGAGTCCTGAAGGAATCATCCATCCTGGATTCCCTGTGTTTCCAGTTCCTATCTGTACCAGTGTACATCCTCTGGTCTAGCCAGATTTGTAAGGTAGAATTGGGATCATGATAGTGGGAGGA